AATGGCAGCAGTGAAGCTGGTTGCGCAAACGGTAAACGATAAACGGTAAATTTATAAACTATAAACATCGAAAATGGGAAGGAGCCGCCACATTCCGAACGGCCGACCTCTAACACCAACCACTATTATCGGTATATAGTGGGCCATAGCCTTTGCTTAAAAAGGCACAGTCTGCAAGGCAGCAGGTGGTTTGATATCAAAGTTTTCCTTCTCCTGGACAATGTGCCCTCGCAGGCTAAGGATTATTGTCAGTACCCAACAGTTTGGTCCGCGACTGCTTGTTTGGATATTCGCAGCTAACCTATATATCTACGGGCTGCTCAGCTATTCACCACCAGCCGACGCGCCTTGTGGCAGATGATAGCTGCAGGTAATCGGTTAAGATTACCCTTCCTGGAACTTACCAGCTGCTTCTACTATCAATAACATATTAATGCGAAATTGAATGTAATCTTAGGGAGCGCGGTGGGGCTACGTATATACGAGCACGACGTCCCATGTCATCACAATAACAACAATAACTTAATTGTTGAAGCGCCTCTGCGTAATTGGCACGCAGCCCCTACAATACAACAGACGCCTTCTACTGTTGTACAACACCTATAATTTTATAGCCGTGACAAAGTTGACAAATGATAATAAACCGGCCAAGCTGGGAGTATAACCAAGAGAACGAGAGTGAAGAGAGACACAGCAAGAGAGAGATAGCAAGAGAGTCAGAGAGAGAGAGAGAGAGAGAGAGAGAGAGAGAATGAGAGAGAGAGAGAGCGAGAGAGAGAGAGAGAAAGCGCGGCGCGCGCGCGAGAGAGAAAGAGAGAGAGTCGGAGCCTGTGTGTAATTTACACACTCACGTATAACGAGTAATGTTACTTTTTCATATACACACTCATAATACCACTCTCATATACATCCCTCAGTATCTTTCTATAAGATTGTCCATTGACGGCCTCCCACACTCATCACTTAGCTTTCATGCAATGTAATATACAACGTCTTAGGAACAACCCGTCCTAATAGTGAGGCGTAGGAGTACGACATCTATATATCAGCCCAGTTTCTAGTAATGTACATAGACTACGGTGCTTTATGATGTAGTTACAAACTAACAATAAACACAAATCTTATATTGTTAAGACAAACAATAAACACGAACTTGATAGATCAGCGCGTTTGACTTATATATGTCCTGTGATACAGGAACAAAACCACGTCTCACATCGGGTATAATCTTGTTATTTATTATCCGTAAAGAAAATCAAAGACGTTCTAACGAACCCGGAATTGTGTTTTAATATAACGCGACGTAATCATGTATAGTGTTGCATTTCTCGTATTAATGCAACATGACGTGCGCTGTTGTGAAATGTTCAGGCAACTGCCTCCCATAGTCCATTCTCTACCTTAATATATATATTTTTTATAGAAGTTTCTTTACAACGCGATCGAAGTCAGCCTACTTCTTTATTATTAAGGTTCAGACAAGAGTGTTAAAGCTATTCTCATCTGAAGTGTTATACCATAGCGATACGAGTCGCTGTTGGGAATCCAGCCACTGAGTGAATGCGTAGAGTTAGAATCGTCGTCGCTTCCTCTAATTCAACCAGCGCCATCTACTGGCGTGGCACGCTAACTGTAAGAGTCCCAGGTAGGATATCAAGGTAGGTGTAGCTCTCCCCAAATGTATGAGGGTTAAAGCTACTCTTATCTGAAATGTTCCGTGACTGTCCACCATAATAATACGTGTCGCTGTTGGGAATCCAGCGACTGGGTGAATGCGTAGAGTTAGAATCGTTGCCAGAGGCCTGACCATAACCTAACGTTCTCATGGGAAGAATAGCATAGGCAGCGTCGTCGTCGTTTCCTCTCATCTAACCAGTGCTAT